CCTTAATCCTAGCTGCACCCTGAAACGACCTGAACAAAACATGATTGTTGAACTGCGATGTCAAAGCATGGCTTACATCAGTGTGCAAAGCATGCATCATGATTTTCATAAGTACGCGACGCATGCAGCGTGCTTTTATCAGTGCACGTCGGCAACGACGCAACGATGGAAACGCATGCCACAAACGCGCGTCAAAATTGGATCCATTTTCACCCGCAAATCTAAACTGATGAGGTCGACAGGACATTGCATTGATTGAGCCGGTGCACCAGACACGCGCGCGAACACTGGTCGCTCGAGCCCCACATTTCGCTCATATGTTTAACTGGACACTACACGACCACTGGGATGAGCGACATCACGACGTGCGACTGAAGACCATCACGACTGACTGATGCGACTTACGGCTGAGGGCCATCAGAGCTACATGTGTTGATGTCCGGGCTGGCGGCCATTGCACTGTCGCCCGTGCGGGCGGCGACAGACTGCGCGCCCGCCTGCCGGCCTTGTTTGGCTCGCGGAGCGGCGGGGCGCCTGTCCGGCCGGCCGGCCCTCCCGGGGGACTGGCCGATGTCCCGGCCGGCTCGGCACACTGTCTGGCGCGCTTCACGCTGACAGGCTGTTCTCATTTCATGGCCTGGGCTGTGCAATGCTGCATGTGTGGCGATATGCAAATAGCAGACGGCAGAGGGCTCCAGCGGGCCGTCGAATAAACAGTGTTCAAATCTTTGATCTAACAGCCCATGTGACTGCCAATTGCATGCATTAGTAGGGAGGTAAATGTGTTGTCGTTCGGTCGGCCGGAGATGGAACACACATCCTCACAATGGCGTGCCTTCATCTGAGGCTGGAGGTCGTTTTGGATCGAGTCGGCAGCTTTCAACATCGTGCGCAGTGCGTTTTGCCTTTAGGTTTTCTAATCCCTACAGGCTGTAACAAATCCCGATTTATCTCTAAATTCGTGTCTTACAACGTTCAAGACAGCGGGCCATCGTTCGCGACACCATGGCCGCTTTGATATGCTGCGGTCTTCATTGTGGCCACAAAAGCTCGCGATTTTGAAACATCGCTGTGTTGACTTGATACCCGAAACGTTACTTACGTTCTGCACGAAATGCAATAGTCGCAGGAACAAGAATCCACCACGCAACCTAAAGCCGTACTTAATGTCCTAAGTTGCTTACCATTTACTGTGCATTTCGGTACTATCACCCATACACAGCTGAAGCCTGTTCCACCTGCTGTCCACTTACACCTGAAAATCAAAAGATCAAGTCGTTTTGCCCACAAACCAGCGACGAGACAACTAAAATCAGACAAACTTTATGAAGCAATTGATCACCTGGTGCCGCAGTCACACAACAGGTACCAAAAGAGTCAGACGCCCGCTATCATTACCCGACACGCAAAGCCGTAAACAAGGGGGAGGATGATAATCTTCTTAGGGCTACAAAACTGTAAAAAAAGGTTTAAGTGCCGTCAACAGACGCTGTTGGCTGGTTACAGCGATGTCATCATGGGCCTCGCTTTGAACTGTAGGGCAATGGGGCACATACGCGTCCAGTTATGTGGCTGAAATTGTAACCGCAGAGCAGCAGCCGAGCCGCAGCCGCGCGACGTCCGAGCTACAGCTGTCCAGCAGCCGAGCCGCAGCCGTACAGCGGCTGAGCTGCAGCTGTCCAGCAGCCGAGCCGCAGCCGTGCAGGGGCCGAGCTGCAGCTGTCCAGCAGCCGAGCCGCAGCCGTGCAGCGGCCGAGCTGCAGCTGTCCAGCAGCCGAGCCGCAGCCGTGCAGCGGCTGAGCTGCAGCTGTCAAGCCGCCGAGCCGCAGCCGTGCAGCGGCTGAGGTGCAACTGTCCAGCAGTCGAGTCGCAGCCGTGGGCGGCCGGATTGACAAGGCGCTTAATCACAAAGCTGCTGGCCGAGCAGCCAACGCCCAGCAGTGCTGCACGGCAGCCTTGCAGGAACTGAGCAGCATTTGAAGACTGATATCTCGGCCACGTGCGGGTGATCTTCCCCAAAGCTTAACTTTCGCACCAATTATCGTGGCTCGAGGCCTTCACACGCGGTTACCGCGCCGTCATCCTGTCCTGACCGGGGTCTCGCACCTGTGCCGGCCCGGCGGTGCTGTCGGCGACCACATCTGGCCGCCGTGCCGTGCCGTGCCGTGCCGGTCTTTGTTTCGGGCGCTGCGGTAGCGCCCGGCACCGGCTTCCGATGAAACATCTGCCGGGGGCGCCGGCGATTTTTCGTGTCGCTTCCCGCGCGGCGTTAAATCAAAGCTGTCAACTCTGGGTCGGCTTGCGGACGAGTTTTTCCGGCGGTTTTTACCGCAGCCGGTCCGGGTTCGCCAAGATGCATATGATGCCGCCACGGCTGCCTGGAGTCTCACTTCCGGCACTCTGGGCGGGGTGTGACGCTGTCATGTTCTGCCGGATATGCCAGACTTGAAGACATTGCACGGGTGGTCGTCGTCGTGCTGACGAGGCCGCACTGTCCTCTGATATGAAGGAATAGTCCATTTCTGATAACGCTCTCATTCATTGATATCCTTATCTGTTTAAGCTGGTGCATCTGTTCACAGACATGTCACATGGCGCGCATGGCATGTCACATGTAATGTGGTGCATACATGCATAGCTACATGCTCACATATTCACTATACTGACTTCTCATCCCACTGCCGTTCCCCGTCCCGCCAGGCCTGCGAGGGATGCCTGATTCGCGACCCTGATAAGTTCTTCGGCGCTGAGCCGGAGATCCTTGGGACTTCCACTCGCTTCGGGAACAGGAAGAGGTCGCCTAGTGGTAGATCTTGTCTGGGAAGTCGCTGGCTCATCTAAAAAATCAGGCGTCACCTGTACGGTCCTCCCCGGATATGGGACAGCATCATCTCCAGCAGAATAACACCTGTTTCTCGGAGCCGGGGACGCTTATCTTTGATGGTGTGTCGTATCCTGTTCAAAACGCTTGGCAATGGTTCCTCATGACGTTCTGACCCACTGGAACTGCTTTATTGAAGATGATTTACTCTTTTCGAAGAAAGGCATTTGTATGACGTTGGACTTGCTCATGATGCGCATGCGCCTTGAGCGAGTTTATTCAGGCACCCACCATCCGAGCTCCGTATTTTCAGTTGTGGTTACCGAGAATGGGTCACTGTCTCATCACGTGCGGGAATTCTGTGGAGAATATGCTCTTTTCCCTGCATGGTCAGACAAGACATATTGACGAAACTTTGGTGTGACCCCGCCCCTGCTCCTCAGTGAGAAGATGTGGCACCGACTTTACCCCTATCTTACTCTCCCGAGTCTTTCAGTGACGATGTCGTTAGGAATATTTGGGAGACTTTTAACCCATTCGATTTTGATGCTCTCGACGTATCTTTGTCGAGCCGATGCTTCACTTTCAGGGCTACGATCGGTGTGGACACAGATTTTGGGCGCCCAGTGTGGATAGTACGGGTCTTTCCTCCATTGCCGAGCCATTTCATAGGAGGGATGCTGGGATTCAGTAGCTTGTAGCTGTGCTGTAGTATCTGTAGTATCGAATAGCTGTGCTGGTATGTTTCGATCGCAGGCTGTGTTGACTGACTGCCAGACTGATACAAAATCTTACCACAGTAAGTAAACTGAATTCTTGGAAAAGGTTCTCTTCTTTACTGGGATGCCCATTGGTGTTCACAAAGGGGTTCACTATCCTACTTATTTGAAAACTCGATTGTTCTCTGTGAACAATGGTGTGCTGATTTGTACTTTGTCATAAACTACGAGCCACACCGACTACCAACTACCAACATACACGTCATACATTGTGTTATGGACTTCATTTTATTTCAGTATTGCATGTGAGTTGTTGGGCGGGTACATACGCTCCTTATCTTGTCCGTATCCGCGTCAGTTCGAATGGCGGGGGTGCTCGCGCACATCTGACCATTCTCTTCTGACGAAGCCAAGGAACGTAATCATCCTTATGTGCGATCATAGCATACAACCGATTATCAGGTCACCTTCCTTTAATGGGATAGTTAATCTTTGGCAGTTGGCGATCTGCATCCTAGCTAACAGTTCCCTTCTGTGTGAGCTCGGCCAACACATTCTAGATCACTACACGCTGAGTAAATATTACTTTTAAAGACGTGATATCGGAGTTGTTGATAGTTACAGCCTTGTTGCAACTATCACCAATGCACCTACATTCCAAGAGGATACGATAGCTTGTCGAAAGTCTCGCAGTCAAACTACAACTAAAGTGAGTGAGCTTTTTATGATCAGAAAAACTGCACAAATGCTCTTCCTCTTTTACGCCTGAGGCCTTACCTAGATCAGTCAACTTTGCAACTTGTAGACCGTCGCGGAAGTTATTACTAGCTGATTTTGACACCATCATTTTAGGCTGTCATGTTTCTGCAAAGCTCAGAAGATATCCGGAGTTATCTGTGAGGCCACTAGGCTCAGTGAAATACGATAATAGCATAATATATCTGAGTGCGAAATCAGGGATGGATATGTTTAGCGTTCTTCAGCACTTTTCCAAAAGTTCCTGGAACAGCGGGCGATTGACGTGGGTGTCTAAGACTGTTTAGTTATCGTATTACCGCTGCAAATTATTTCCTCTGCTCGGCGTTTGTTTATGTTTGTTCGGTTTCTTCGAAGGCCCTGGTATGATGAGTAATTCTCGTGGCTGCACACTGCATCCTTCGCGGAGTGTCCGAGCATGCATTAGGCAGCGTGTTTATCCAAATTTGAACGCAGGCTGGCGAGTCCAACGGGTGGGTAGAATGGGAGGGGGGGGGGGGGTCTCCTCCTCAAGGTAACGAGCAATGTTCACCAGAGCGATGCTCCCCAGGTTCAGTGAGAGTCCGCCTTTGCTAACATATACAAACATGCTGCACATGTCTCTGGGAAATCCTGACATTTGTCTGAAGACGTCAGGGTTCCCGGCGCGTTTCAAGAAATTGCGTCACCTAACCGACCGTCCACCGATGTCTCTTTTCAGTGCCATGTCTTCCAAGCGGAAGTCGCCGCCATTCAAGCTGTACGAGCTCCCCCTGGGCGCAGAGGCGGCTTTTGACGGGCGACGGAGGTCACCCGGGGTCACAGAGGTCGACCGGACCGCAACCGTGACGGCCGAGCCGCCCCCGCAACGGCGCGACATGGAGGCCGTGCTGCGCCGACTGGCCGCCAAAATGGTGGACGACTCGGCATCGCCGCTGTAAGATTAGCTTCAAACGCTGGAGATGCGCGTCGATTAGATGGGAAGTTGATCACTTCGGTTATACGGAGCGGTGACCGGTCGTCTTTTGGCACGTTTTGTGAAACGTGGTCATGCTTGGATGTGCAGGCACGATGGTTTAGTTGTGGATCAGCGCGATGAACAAATCGCTGGCAGGGCAGTATATCCTGATATCGCTTTAAATCAGGGACAGGTGAAATATAAGCAACGTGATGAAGCAGCGCCCGTGGGATGTAGATCACTCCCCTAATTGTGGATTTGGCTGAAAGAGTTCACTCAGCTTCGAGTTTGCACAATTTGACCTACATAACTTGAACACCATCCAGCAGAGACGGCGGTTCACCTGAGGCGAACGCGCCTCCGCCGGATCTGATGCCGCTGCTGCTGGACAAACAACTGGAGCCGCAGCGGATCCAGGAGATGATCCAGCAGCTGCGGCTGGTGCAACACAGCATCCAGCTGAGCCAGCAGCAGCAGCAGCAGCAGCAGCAGCAGCAGCAGCAGCAGCAACAACAACAACAACAACAACAGCAACAGCAACAGCAACAGCAACAGCAGCAACAAGAGCAACTGAAGGTCGGTGAATCATATTTTCGGCGTTGCTGTCGTGAACAGTGTCTTTTTACGGCGATGCGCCCGGCTGGTGAAACTCCGAGCTGGGTGTTGTGTGGGAGTCTTTTGAGATCACGCCCCGTCCGTTTGATGGAGCTCCGAGCTGGGCGTTGAGTGAGAGTCTTGTGAGATCACGTCCCGCCCGGCTGGCGAAACTCCGAGCCGAGTGTTGTGAGAGAGTCTTGTGAGACCACGCCCCGTCTGGCTGGTGGAGCTCCGAGCCGAGTGTTGTGAGAGAGTCTTGTGAGATCACGCCCCGCCCGGCTGGTGGAGCTCCGAGCTGGGTGTCGTGAGAGGGTCTTGTGAGATCACGCCCCGTCTGGCTGGTGGAGCTCCGAGCTGGGTGTCGTGAGAGTGTCTTGTGAGATCACGCCCCGCCCGGTTGTTGGAACTCCGAGCCGGGTGTTGTGTGAGAGGGTCTTGTGAGATCACGCCCATGTCGCGCTGATGTGGTTTGTTATTGACAGCCGCCTGAGAACTGATCCTAATAGCCTGGATGACACAGGAGTGACCGTGCCACGACATCGCGAGGCACCTTAAACACTTTTGGCAAAGACTCTCTCTCTGAATACATGTAATCACTCCGCTGAGCTAACAGGTCAAGGTGATTTATTTCGGCCAGTTCAACTTTCAAACAGGCTCATTAGCGGACATGCGAAACAACGGGAATGCCACCTGTTTTAGCATAAACCCGCTTCCTTACATTTTTTATTCTTGTAAAAACAAGTTTCACACCTTTTTGAGCATGAGAGTCAATTAAAAATCAACCTAAGCACACCTTTAAATGCAAGCGTATTGATGCGGGAACACATAGTCACTCGAAAAACATGAGAGGAGAAAGGCTGGATGACCGTGAGACGGTAATACACGTACAAATGATTCTTAGTGTGAACAGAACCATAGAATTTGGTTGCTTCTCCTGTACATTACAGCCGTCTAATAAAAGTACACGCAAAACCAACTTCAAGCGAAGATCAGCACAGAATAACCCTAAACAGCTTCTGAAATATACAAAAGATGCTTGATTTACATAACACAGATATGTTCCTAAAGATACTTAAAGACTTACCTTAAGATTAATGACTTGATTTCAACGTGAACCGATCCGATCGCCAATACGTCTGGCATCAAGACCGAACGGCAAACCTACCACAGCCAGTCGAGCTGAATTTGGGTCGTCATCTATGCTACGCCTCTCTGCCGTCCGGAGCGTGAGGGGTGGGGGAGGGGAGGGGGGCGGGAGCGCTCCCGCCAGTTAATCAATACCTGTGAGTTTTGGCTGACTGCTACCTTCATCTGTCGAACAGTTCTGCGGCGAGATTTAGATGAATTTCACACGTGCCAGCGTGACAAATTAATGATTTTCCGGATCTGCAGATGAGTATCTGGGATTTCGGGAGTGTGAAATGCGTCGACTGTCGGCAATTCATTGTCCTAACGGCCAGCCAAGCAGCAGCAGTGCAGCTGCGCTATCTTGCTCCGCATTAGCGCCGCCTGCCAAGGGGATGTTTTGTTTGCCCGCCCGCCCCATACTTCGCGACCAGTCCTGATGCCCGCGCTTTGAAGCGGCCACCACACATTGCCCTGCGCGACTGACCCAGCCCCACAGCGCAGTGTTCGGCGAAGCAGCACATTGTTTGGAAAGCACCACAATGAGTTCCCACGCCACTGCGTCCTCACACCGGGACGCCGTGCCAGAAACGCTCCTTTGTGGAGGCCGAGGCCGGCCGGCGCGAGGACAACAGGCCGCTCCGGCCCGTCAACTCGTCGGGCCGTCCGGCTGGAAATGAGGGCCGGCGCGACGCGCTCTCCCCCCCCCCCCCCCTTCCATCGAGAGTCGGCAAACAGAGGCGTCGGTAGGCTGGTCCGAGGTGTGTGGATCAACGTGGGCCAGTGTCGAGCTCTCGACCGGGCATTGTCAGTAGTGGGAGAGAGAGAGAGAGAGAGGGGGGGGGGGGGGGCGGCTGGACTGTTGTCAGCACTGCGGAAGCAGAGCGCTGGACCGCCGTCAACGCTGCGGGAGCAGAGCGCTGGACCGCCGTCAACAGTGGGAGAGCAGAGCTCTGGACCGCCGTCATCACTGCGGAGGCAGAGCGCTGGACCGCCGTCAGCACCGAGGAGCAGAGCGCTGGACCGCCGTCAGCACCGAGGAGCAGAGCGCTGGACCGCCGTCAGCACTGCGGGAGCAGAGCGCTGGACCGCCGTCAACAGTGGGAGAGCAGAGCGCTGGACCGCCGTCAACACTGTGAGAGCCAAGCGCTGGAACGTCATCAACAGTGGGAGAGCAGAGCGCTGGACCGCCGTCATCACTGCGGGGGCAGAGCGCTGGACCGCCGTCAGCACTGCGGAAGCAGAGCGCTGGACCGCCGTCAGCACTGTGAGAGCAGATTGCTGGACCGCCGTCAGCACTGTGAGAGCAGAGCGCTGGACCGCCAACAGAGGGGAGAGCAGAGCGCTGGACCGCCGGGGAGAGCAGGGAGAGCGGGACTGACAACGGAGAAATCGAGACATTGGGACACCAGCACCGAGGAGCTGTTTTCAGAGCAGGGATCCAAGACGTTCTGGGATCTAAAATATCCTGTGTATGCCGTAGATTCCATGGCCAATTCAAACCATTACAATTGTACAGACCTGGGGGGGGGGGGGGGGGGGGGGGTACTAACAGGTGTGCAACCCTGCGGGGTCTCCTGCCGGGCTCAGGACATCAGGTGCTGTATGGGCATCAGGAGGAGGCGTGTGCTGATGTTCCGCGCCGGCTAGGCCCAGACGGGGTGCGATGAGATAGCTAAACGGGCGAGAAGCCCACGCAAATTATGAAAACTGACAATACGGACACTGGGTGATATGTTGGCTACAAATACACATACATGTCTGCTTGCAGCAGTAAAACGTTGGGAATTCCGGTCGTGTAAGAGGTCACTGCAGCTGAGAAGAGGACTCCGTGTGGCTTCACATCGGCGTGAGTCGTTGGGTGCCTGGCATAAACAATGCACGCCTTGTAATTTGTCCGGGAGCCACGTGACGTCATAGGCCCTCGAGTATGACGCAAGCTGAGTTCCGGCGAGTGCCAGAAGCCGTCGGACGGCGACTAATCGACCTCTATGATCGACGGTGGCACGCCCTGTGTGAGGGGCGGGGGCGGTACATTAGGTGGAGGGTCACACATGCCGCCGCGATTACCTCAGTTCAGCTGCGCTTGCGCTGTTTCTGCGAAGATGAACGAGGCGGTAATCTCTACGGCGCCTTCAACAGACGCTTGCTGTGGTTCGCCAGGCCTCAACAAGGTTAGGAGGGGTACGGTGACTTGTTCACGGTGCGGTACGTCCCCATCCCACCAAGGACAAGGACGAGGACAAGTGGATCGTCCTCGATCCGCCGACCAGGCATCCAACAATGGAGGAGGGGCGGGGGGTACGGTGGGTTGTCCTCAGTCCGCTGTTCTAGCACCGGATGAGGAGGAGGTGCAGCGAACCGCCCTTGGTCCGCTGGTCGGGCATCGGACGAGGAGCGGGTGTAGTGGAACGCCCTCAGTCCGCTGGGCAGGCATCAGACGAGGAGTGGCGATTTCGACAACGGCAGAACGGATTTATCGTTGTTTACCTTAGTCGAGATCGAAATGGACGCATAAGTCATCGTCGACCGTGCATTAGTGTCGACTGCAAACGGTGGAGAATTATGCCAGAATGGCCTGGAAATTTGACAGGAACGAACAGCTGCTGTTCAGTGGGGACCACCCCAATTCAACAAACTTTTACGTGATCCCAAACATAGCTCGTGCACGAACATTGCTAAACGATAGGTTTGTGAAACCCTTGTGCGTCATTGTGTGCGTCGTTTTGGCGTAAACAATATACACATCACACTTAGCTTACATTTCAAAGATCTGCGCTCCCGATGTTTGTCTCATTTGGGACGCACGTTATTTGCTAAACTTTTCTTGAGACGCGGTAGGTGTTCGGTAGTCAACGGAGATATAATCAACAAAAGCCACCTAATGAAAGGCTGTATCAATAAAACATGCATATGCATTATGGAAAGAGCTTACATTGGTAAGATGTCGTGCACTGGGCGAGCAATGTCAGTAATTCCCGACCATCAACTAGCCGTGCGCTGGTGCCATTAGATCCTTTGCACTTGTCGCTTTGTCTCAGGGGTTGTAACCTGACCCGGGAATGTAGCGACGCTGCGCAACAGGTGCCGAACAGCTAGGTGTTATCAATTCTGACAGCCCCAACCGGTCATGACAAATCGATACAAGAGTATGCTCTTGGGGCGGGAGTTAGATGGGCATGGATTCAAGCCAAAGGCTGCTAGAATCCGGACCGTTGGCCGCCTGGCGCCGTAGTGCGGGTAAGGCGGGTATCTCGGCTTCATCGACAATGATTTCTGGCTTCCGGGCACTGTCAGCAAGCATTTCTCCCATAGTTTCGAGGGGCGGAAGACAAAAATGAGAAATGAATGCGGCAAAGTCACCAGTTAAAGTTAAGTAGAGCCACATGGGTGGTACATAGGAAGCCTTTCTTAGAATCATTATCGATCTCATACGGCAGTCTTATCAGTTCTTGTTTGATGTGACTTGTAACGTTATTTGAACCCCCACATTGGAGCTTGACATGCCTAGCGTGGTGAGCTATCGACTGCCAGGCGATGCAGTTGGGTGTAGAAGCGAATGTAAGGGACCAGGTGCTTGTTAATCCTTCATCAGTGCTCAGAGGGGATCGCTTAGGAGCACACCTTCTCCCTCCCCCGTACGTGGCAGCGTCGTTGGGGATAGAGAATGTTAAGAGTATACTGCGCTTTGCATGGCGTCATTGTTTCGAGCAAGAATTAAAGTATTGTGCTCCAATGCACGAAACAGGATTTCATTTTCTCGTTAAGAAATGCGTACCAGCTACGTGTTCTGCTGTTGCAGTGCATAGCTTGCTCCAAAGCGTCATGACGCAATGATTGGAAGAGTGAGCCCT